GCCTTTTCCAGACCCCCAGCCAGTATGTGAGTGTCCTCCGAGTCCTTCCTCTCTTCCTCCTGCCCACAAGTCCCTCTCTGTACCCCAAGCTCCTGTTGCCTTGTGCTGGGTCTGTGGGGCTGCACTGCCAGGTTACTGTCCTGCAGCCTGGCTGGGATTGTTGATGGGTGTGGGTCCTCCAAGCAGAGCTGGGCTCTGCCACCTCCTTGCTCCCACTCTATCCAGGAGATCCATCCATCCACCCACCCAGTCCTGCCTCGCTGTGCCATTGTGGTTGTATCTCCAAGGCCCAACACTAAAAGGCTTCCCTGCTCTCCACACAGCTCGGGAGGGAGGTTCTCCTCCCCTTGCATAGTCATGTGTGGGGTCGGGCTGTGCTTTATAGGAAGGGGCCCAGCAGGGAAGGGAGCTGGAAGCTGAGGGCAAAGGCAGACAAAGCCACCCGCATCCCTGACAACTGGCTCTCTTGTGCACAGCTCCTGGGGAAGGAGCAGTGAGACACAAAGCCCTTTCGCTTGCATCTGTAATTTCCTAGGGCTGGCTTTCAACTAGGGAAGCTGATGGAAAAAGAGCAGTGTGTGTAGCCAGTGTTTCTTTTGTGGCAGTGACTGCCTGGGGAAAGCTCAGCCTCCAGAGCTGCAAGGATGGCTTTTGAGGGAAGGGCTGCAGGTACCACTTTGCAGTCCCTGGGAGAAGAGTGGACATTCAGCCTCACTAGCAAGGGGTGGAGAGACTAGTGCTATGAAAGGTAAATCTAATAGTCCAGCACAGGCTGAGAAGTCTCCACCAGAAATCACAGTGGAAATAGGCTGCACTGATGTCTCCACTCCTTTCCCTCTCTTCCCTCCTGTTGCCTGCCCATGGCACACACACTGGGAGCAGGCCCTGCTGCTGTGCTCCCTTGCTCTGTGGAGCTGCTCTCTGAGGCAGTGTGGCATGCTCCCTGAGCTCTGAGGTGGAAACTTCAAGCAGGCATCTTGCCTTTAGCAAAGGACTGTGCGGAAGGATGGATGCAAAGAATTATATAAGGAAAGGGAACATATAATGTATTTCCTTCAGAAAAAGAGAAGCAGTTGTAGTGTGTGAGGCAGCTTTTGTGCAGGAATAGTTGCACTAGTTTTGCTCATGAGTTATTGAATGGACAATTGGGTGCTGTTTTCCTGCAGCTTCTGTAGTTGTGCTGTACGGCCAAGACAAACAGCTCCTTGCTTGTTAAGAGCAACAGTAAATCCTCATAGTCCTCCCTGTGCATCCCTGGTTGCCCTGAGAGTCTCTGGGCTGGTTTCTGCTGGCAGATATGGGGTTTTCCTAGAGCAAGGTAAAGGCATGGCTCAAGTCCTGGCTCTGGCTCGAGGGGCAGCTCTCTGTGAACAGGATTTCTGCTCACTGTTGCTCAATACCTTGACAGGGAATCCAGTTTAACTAGAGCAAGACAGCTTGGGAACAGCACAACTGTTGCCCTGTAGATTTGCTTGCTGCATTATCCTGAAATTACAAGCTCAGTAGATAAGAGCTAACAAATTCTGTAACCCTGAGCATGTGATGGAGCTCTTATCTACACCAGTGGAATAGTTGGGTTGTTTTTTGTTGTACCCCAAAAGGAGATGGTTATGCTGATTTTCAATGAAACCGTGCCCTGGGGCCCAGACTTGCTGTACTCTGCTCCTGCTGGCTCCAGCCCTTGGAGCAGACCCTGTGCTGCCAGAGAAGATGTCCTGGAGCTCTTGGTGTCACTGAACAGGCAGGGGCTGCTGCCAGCACTGAGAGCTGCAGGAGGGAGCAACTCTTCCTCTGCCAGGGTCTTGCTGTCCCATGAGAGCTAGTTGAGCTCTGCTCTCTGCTGGGAAGGATGGGAGGGATTTTGGTTTTGTTCATGTCCTCCTCATTCCAGGACCACCCCCCACCCTACTTCAGCAGCAGCCAGCAGCTGGTGGGACCCCAGCATGGAGCCTCACGGCTGGAGAGCACTGCTGAGAACCCCAGCATGCAGGTGATGGCAGGGTCCCTGCTGGGAGCTGGGTGGGAATGGTGCTCATGGGCTTGGAGAGAGACTCTGGTTATGGAGTTTGCCTGGGGCAAAAGGTGCTGGGCAGCATCTTCTGGTGCTATCCCACAACGTTGGGAAGTGCTGCCAGTATGTAAAAACCCCAGGGGCAGGCAGCATGTAGAGGGAAGGAATATTGCAGAGGATACCACAGTGCCCTGAGGGGTTTGTGCATGAAGTGCCAGTGGTAGATCCTGGGGGCTTGGGATCCTGCAGCGCAGGTCGTGGTGTAATTGCCCCCTGCGAGGGTGGATATCCTCTCTGGGTGTTCAAAGGAGCCTACAAGTACCTACAGCTTTGAACCCTGAACCCTTAACTCAAGGTTGCACCAGGACATAAACTTCTAGTGATGAGAGCCACCATCACACTGACCCTTTTCTGGGAATGCACATTTCTAGGGAGATGAGCTCTTCTGTGTCGGACGCCCCAGCACGTACCAGCTCCCGTCCTGGGAGCAGCCCCGCCTGCCCAGCTATGAGAGTGTGCGGAAGAAAGATCGCCAGCGAGAAATCCATCAGATGATTGCCGACAGGTTTGGGCTGTGGGCAGAGCCATCCCAGGAGGTGAGCTCCCCTCCCTGGAGTGGGAGGCTGGCAGAAGCCCATGGCAGTCACCACTGTGGTTCATATCTGTGTCTTGCTTCACAGTTGGTGGTAGCTGAGGACTCTGTGCTCTGTGATTGCCTTCCAGATAGCTTTTATCTCTGGGAAAGCACAAAGTGTATCAGGAGGCTCCTTTGGTGTACATCTGTGCTGGTTAATGATCCATCTCTCCTCCCCCGGTGCATTTGCAGAAATGCCTGTACCAGGAGGCAGGGCAGAACCCCACGGAGAAACGGCAGGCTCTTCAGATCACCTGATCCATACAAGTCCAGGCTGGGAGTGTTATTTTTGGATCTCTAAGGCTTTCATGGGTTCTTGCTTCCTTCTCCCTGCAGGACACTCCTGGGGACATGCCTTGGTATTACCTTGAAGTGTTTATGGCTTATTTATGAGCAGGAGGCTTTGCTTGTTATGATAGTTAAGATTTGCACTCCCACAATGTAACAGAGAAAAGTGAGTGCATCCTGCTAAGTAGGTCCTGTGGCAGCATCCTGAGATGCTCCCGTTCAGAGACCTCACTGTCTAAAGCAGGACAAAAACTTTTGAAACCCGAGTGAAGCATTAGAAGTTCACTGATTTACCTGGATTTTGAGCTCTTAAAGCTGCACCATAAAGCCTGGCATAGTTAGCCCTTGCCACTCAGTGTTTGGAGCTATCTCTAATGCCTGAAAAGTTCCAGCTTGATATAGTGGAAGGTGTCCCTGCCCATGCAGGGGTCGGAACTGGATGATCTTTAAGGTCCCTTGCAATCCAAACCATTTTCTAATTCCATGAAACCTGGGCATTGAGGGCACAGGAAAGTAAAGCTCCAAAGACAAGTAGTTGAGGAACAGCACTGGAAGCTCTTCCCACAACATTGCCATGCCACTTCCTGTCACCTGTAGGAAGAAAGCTAGCACAGCTCTGCCAAAAGAAATGTGACAAGGCCTGGAGGTTCCTCTCTCTGTGCAGTGAGACTTGGTGCCAAAACCTGGGTACAACACCTGGTTTGTAGGTACTTGTGTAAATCCTAGTAATTTTTCTTTAGTCAAGGGAAAACAAGTGACAGGCCTCTCCCAACAAAAGTCAAGTTTGTTCTGGCCTTCTGCCAAGTCCTTGAAAGGGAACAGGGAAGAGCAAGAACATCGCACAGAGTGTGAGGTGAGAATGTGTCTCTCAGCAGGTTTGTGCCATGTTCTCATCTCCAGGTGTTCCCCAGCCTACAGCTGGCTGCGCTGGGGGACTGTGGGGGTTTAATTTCAGGCTGGTGGCAGTTGTGAGCATTTTCATCTGCTCTGTAAGAAGAGGTGGGATAATCTCCTGGTTATTTCTGATCCGCTGTAATGCTCTTTCTCTCTCCTCAATAGATGCCACCTCCTTATGAGCATGCTCTGAGGCATCCTCCAGCTTTCTCAGGAACAGGAATAAGCTCAGAGACCTTGGACAGACATGGTGTTCCAGACCCTTTCCATGCCCCCCTCAGCTACCAAACTCAGCGGAACACTGCGGTGTAAGGCCTTGGCCTAGTGTACTGCTGCTTCCTGTGCTGTCAGCAACTGAAGTGCCTGGGATACCGTTTTCCTCCACAGTGAATGGCCAAACCTTCACCCAGATCCACAATCACCTGAAACATAGGCAAGACCAACCCAGCCACCAGTGACATCCCTCTTGCAGCACAAGAACAACCACAGAGCCATTGCTGGGTACTGCACTGAGCAGAGGAACCAGGGACATCTGCTCAGTCTGGCAAACACCAAAGGCAAAGGTCTAGCTGCTGGAGCTGCACAGGGCAAAGCCAAGGGGAATGTCTGCTAGGCCAGAGCTCCTCAGGAGCAGCATTTCATACCTCTGTGAGGCAGTACTGCTGGCTGTACAAAGGATCAGACCTCAGGCACTGGTGGTATTGTGCTGCTTCACCTGTTTCTTAGGTTATCAAGTGCTTTACTGTATCTGGATTACCTGCCAGGTGGAAATCCTCACCTGTGAGTGGCAGAAGGGATGTGCTTTGGAGCACTGCTGCATGCTCTGGCACCAACAGCCTCTGTGACTGACAACAGTTCTGTACAGAGCCCACACACGGATCTGGAGAGGTTCCATGGGTTATACCCAAATAGAGACCACCAAGATGAACCATGGGACTGGATTTGCAGGCTGGGAAAGGACAGATGCACGGACTGAACAGCTGGAGGTCTACATGAAGATGTGAAGCACAGGTGGACACGTGGCTGACCCAGTTCACCTGGTCTTCTGCAGAGCAGAATTGTCTAAATAATGTCAACACTGGTGTCCTTACACTACTGATTTTGATAACCTGTTTTCTACTGCAGAGTCAATGTTCCAAATTGTTTACAAAACTGTAGATAAAATGAGATCAGTTTGGGCACAACACATTGAGGGTCCTTTATTTTTAGCAATATAAGCTCAAAAATGTCACAAAATGACTCAAAGATAAAAGGATGAGTATCCTGGGTAATGCTTTATCATACACCTCCAGCTGCTGAGGCTTCAAATACTAGTCCCAATTTGGGCATCTTGCCAGGCCCCCTGAACTCAGTAATGAGCTAGAATTAGGCCTGTGAACTTGCCTCACATGGCCAGTGAATGGCACACTCAGATATTTAAGTTAAGCATTGAGATGAGTGAGCTAGAGGGAAAAATCCAGCTTCCAGGTACACAGCATAGGTGCATGTGGAAAAGGATCTGTTCTGTAGTATTGTGAATTAAGGTACAAATAGAACAGTAATGACTAAAAATGAGCAAAAATAGAGGGAATTATTAGCAGGACAAGTACTGGCACAAGAGTGATTGTAGAGGGAATTCATCCAATGGCACAACAGACCAGGCTCTCCAGATACTACATGACCATGGTAACATATTCCATGAGCAGCCAAGACCTTCAGCTGCCCCACAGCATTTATTAAACACTCATAAAAATGCCAGCAGATGATCTCAGTGCCTGAACACAGATCACAAGCACTTCAGGAACAAAACCAAATCCTAGAATGGTATCTTCAGAGCCACTCTTGTCCTCAGATGCCAGTACAGTGTAGAGGTCCTTTCCATCTGTGCCCACATGACACAGCAGGTTCACAGCATGTTGACGAGTTTGAAGCTTCCTACCTCTGTGGTAGGGACAACACTGATAAAAGTTTTATAAAGGACTGCTCCTTTGGGCAGCTGGCAGATCACATCCCTGCTCTCGCTGCTGCGGGGTGGGGGCACGTAGACCTCTTTCGTGTATCTCACAATCCCATCCTCCAGGGCATAGAGTGTCTTGTTACGGCCCATCCCCACCTGGGAGAGGATGAGGAGCATTAGAAAGGAGAGGCTGGACATCCACAACTAAAGCAGATCTGAGCATTGGTCTGCCTTGTTTGATATCCTGGCTTCAACAGCATCTGTTGCTTTATTTTTTTAAATAAAACCACACAACTTGTTTCCAGCAACCAGTTTGCAATGGTGCTCAGTATGAGACATCCATTCCACCCTGAAGCACAAGTGCCCAGTCAGGTCACAGAAGTGTTTGACAGCAATTACTTGCAGACCTTCCCTGAGTCCCATGAACACAGGTGAGGCTCTGAGCAGGCTCTGTGACTAACACCACAGAACACAAGGATGAGCGTTAAGAATGAGACTGAAAGAGAGAAGGCAGTGAGTGTGGGGCTCTGAGGGGGCGGGGACTGCTGTTCTCTGAGAACCAAATAGAGAGAAAAGGCCTTACGTGAGCGCCAGGATGCCAGCGGATCAACCGCTGCGTAGCCAAAATGTTTCCTGCATGGACAAATGCACCTGCAACAGAGTGACACAGTCAGGCTGCAGAGAAAGAGCTTCCAGAGCCCTTGCAGAATACAAATGATTCTGGGACTTATAAATCCCAGCTTTTGTAGGCATTTTCTAAGGAAAAATTACTTCAAATGTTAAAAGCATCTGAACAAAAATGCTTTTAGCAGGAAATAAAAGGGCAATGGATAGACCATGGCAAAAAGTCAAATCTCTGAAAAGATTGCTTCTAGGGTACAAGGCATTTTCTGGCTGATGAAGGCATTTGTTTTACTACATTTACATTGATATGTTTCCATCAGCAAAGCTAGTAATTATTAAGCACTCAACTGCAAGAATCTGCACTTTGGCTTCTGCTAAACTTTGTAATTCTCTCCTTTGTAAACACTGGAAATGCTCAGTTTTTCCACTCAGTGTGGGGGGAAAGTGCAGTGCAGTTATGAGGTGTCTCACAGTGTTCCCTCCTCCTGGGCTCTTTGGAGAGGCAAAGTTAGAACCAAAGTACATTTTCTGTAGGCAATTTTGGCTGGCAGCCGGCGGGCTCATGGTGGGGGGAGCTGACTCACCCTGCCCTCCCACCAACAACCCTTGATCATGAGGTTTCACTGATCCTCCCCTTCTTTCTCCTGGAAAAGTGCCCTGCCCACCTCTTCCTGAAACACTCAACAACTGACACATAGCAGGGGAGAGAAGCTCCCAGTGAAATGTAAATAAGACACTGAGACCTACCTTCGACTTTTTTGAACCCATAGCGTTTCCCTGGGCTGCGGCCACCTAGGTTTTTCGAGCTGCCCCCACTTTTCTTAGAAGCCCATCTGACAGCAACCAGGCTTGTATGGTGAGTGGTTAGAACTAGTTTAGGAGAAAGAACAACATCAGCTGGAAAAACTATCATACATAATTCCTTCTGTCAGATGTAAAGGAAGACAGGCTTTAAAATTAAAGGCAAAGGAAAGCCCTGGAAGAAACAAAAAGTACTTCCAAGATAAATTAGACCAAAAGAGCCTAAGTTCCTTGAAAAAAGGCCACATCTCAAATGCTGCTGCTGCCCAGGTAAGAATAAAACTCTCAGCAACCATGTTAAATCATGTGCACAAATTTCTGTTTCATTCTCGTAAAATGCAGCACAGGTGTCATTGGTTGCTGTGGATTGCTCTTACAGTGCTTTGAGAAAAGATGGGTTGTGATTTGTTTCAGTTTCCCCTTTGACCAAATGGCACTCACTCACGCAGTTACATCCTGAAATCTTATAAATAAGCAGACTCCAAGTCTGGAAAATATATAAACATCTATGACCAGCCAGGAAGAGTGTGAGGAGTATCCTGAAGGAGTATAAAGGTTGAACTTGTTGGAGGTCTTTTCCAACCTTAATAATTCTGTAATTCTATGATTAAAGGCTCTAGGAAGGAATACAGAGCCCTGGGAGTGGCAAAAAGGTAGTCTGGAGCACAGTTTTTTTCATTAACCCTCCCAGTTTAAGGGAAGTGTTTAAGGTTGAACAGGGCTTGGAGCAACCTGGTCTAGTGAAAGGTGTCCCTTCCAATGGCAGGGGGTAGGAACTCGGTGATCTTTAAGTTTCCCCCCAACCCAAGGCATCATTATCTTAAAATTCTCTTCAGTACCACCTCTTATGCAGGTAGGAGACAACCCTAATTTTTCTGAATTCCTCTATTTAGCCCGTTAAGCAGCAGGTTAGTGCAGAACAGTGGTTATCTTGTTTCCTTAACCTGAGCGAAACCACTAGTTTAACCTAATTAAATCATCATGGATACTCAGTGAGCTGGAAATGTCCCACTGCTGGAAGTGTTCAATCACAGGCTGGATAGGGTTTACTGCAACTTGGTCTAATGGAAGGCATCTCTGCCCATGGCAGGGAATTGGAACAAGATGACCTTTAAGATTCCTTCCAACCCAAACTTGTCCATAATTCTAAGAAATACTGTTGAGGAAAGGGTACAAAACCCCATTAATTTCAGGACATGACCCATTACGTAAAGCTTTTTAGAGATTTTACGATTTATAGGAAATTAGACAAGACGAAGCATAGCTACAGTTTTACATACACAAACCCGCTCATCGCCATCACCACAGCCTCAGCTCCAAGCAAAGGCGAAAGCCTCGGCCTCGCGCTATCGGTGGTGACGTCCCACCAGGGGCGCGACGTCCCACGGGGTGACCTCCCTGGGGCACCTTCTCCCGAGCTCATCCCTCCCGCTCCAAGGCCAGACCGCCGCTCCCCACCGCGCAGAGGGTAATGAGGTGACACAGGCCCACACTCACACAGCCGTCCCAGCGCCGCCATCTTGATGGCGCTGCTTCCCCCGCCTCCGCCCGCTGGGAAGGCGACGCGCGCGCGCGCGTGCTGGGACGCAATTGGTCCGCTAGCGCCCTCGCTAGCGTTCGGACCAATCGCTGCCCACTGCACGCGCCTCCGGGCCAACCAGCGGCCGGCGCGGGCTTTCCCCTCAGGCGGGCGCGGGTGCCCCTAAGGAGACGGGGGAGATGGCGGAGAGCGAGTCGGGATCTGAGAGCAGCGAGGAGGAGAACCTGCCTTCCTTCGCCTACCTGCTGCAGCCGTCCCCATGCCTCGGCGAGCCGAGTCGCCCGCGGTCGCCATCTCCTGAGCCTGAAGTGGCAGAGGTTGTCAAGATGGTGAGCAGCGGGAGCGAAGAGGGGGTGGACGTTGTCCCTTTGCACGAGAGGGTCAAGATGAGGGTGGGAGCGGAGCCTGAGCCTTTCAACCTGGGCGCTTATGATGAAGGTGAGGCATCTGGGCTTTGTGCTAGTGGTGACCTGATGGCTCCTGGGAGCGAAGGGCTTCGGCAAGACCTGACGCCGTCAAGAGAAGTAGTTTGTGATAGTGAGACTGGTACACGCGGTGTTGAGAGATCCTCCTTGTGCTCCTTGCCAGTCGACTCTGACAGGCCTAGTAGCCCCCCGGTAAGCAGAGAAAGGCCAGAAACATCGCTCCCTCTTAAGAAGCGACAATATAGTCAGAAGGAACGGGAGGCAATCTGCCAGAATGCGTGGCAGAGAAGGAAAGAGCAAGAAGCAAAGAGGAGGAAGCAGGAGGAGGAGAAAGAGAGGAAGAGAGCCGTTGCCAAGATGCTGAAGGCTCAGCGGCCAGGAGAGTGCCAGAAATACATAACAGTGGTGCTAGATCCAGGTAGTTGTCCTCACAGCCTGCTGCTGCCTTCTACTGACTGTTGTCTCCTCTCTGGAGGCCTGACCCATACATCGATTTCAGTCATCTTACAGGTAGAAGGTGGTGAGCAGATCCTTAGTGCTTTGCAAGCTGCCAATTATTCCTGTGTGTTTGAGAACCACGCTGTTCCCTGCAGTATCACCTGGAGGAGAAAGACATCACAGGTATGTGAGCAAAATTTTGATAATTTCGTCGTTTTCCTCATGTGTTATTTGCAGTCATTAGTAATTGTATTTAGCAACCCAAGTGAACACCCTCTAATTTCCCTGCTCAGAGATCTGAGTGGGAGTCTGAGTGAATTCTAAACAGACTATGGCCTGTTTGTTTTCGTATCTGAACAGATGGGAGGAGGAGATGAATGGACAGAAGAACCAAATGTTCTGGTTCTGCTTGGCTTAGAGGAGTTTTTGTCCATGGCTCACAGCTACAAGCAAGTGAGGATGCTTATGACTTTTGTGCTCCTGAACATGCCTTGATGTAAAACCAGTGTTTTGCCATCCCTCTTAGTGGCAGGAAGGTTTTGGTGTGGGAGGAATGCAGGGTTTCACTGAAACAGAAATCTGGGTGTAGAAGCCATTAGTGGGCTGTATAATGTAAAGTTCTGACAAGCTTTCTTGCTAGTTAAAAATTTTCACACATTCCTCTGAAGAGTTACATTGTTACATCAAGTGGGTTGGTTTTTTTTTCCTTCTTTCTGCAGACCTACAACCAGGGCAATAATTTGCTATGCTTCTCTGTATACCTCAACATTGTTTAACTCCTTGTTTTTCTCATTCATCTTTGTAGAATGCTGATGGCTGCGCAGAAAGGCAGAAGGAGACCCTGCAGAGCTATGTGACTCATATGATGGAGAAAATGCCTGGGAGAATTCTGGCTCTGGCAGTAGTTGGAGTAGAAAATTATTTCAGGTCAGACTTCTTCCCTCCAAATGTTTCTGTGTTTTCTCTGGGCTTGAAAAATGCCATAGGTGTTTATGTTAATTCTTTCTAGCAGAGACTGGAGTATAAGAGGTATTCCCAGAACTGCTCCACCACTTTTTATACAGAAACAGAAGCAAAGGTCCATCCAGACTGTCACCCCAGTCTTACTTTACTCTTTTTAGGTCTCTCCAAGTTCAGCCAAAACAAAGGCTGCGACAGACAGCCACAAGTGGGAATCAAGAGAAACGGGGAGAAAGGAGAAAAAAGGAAGCTAAGGATTCTAGCTTGGACTTATCCAGAATGGATGTGAAAGAAGTGAGTGCTTTTAAAACACATGCAACCATCATCTGTTGTCTCCCAGTATTTGAACATTTGACCCAGTCACACAATTTTGTACATGGGAGTACGTGGCTTTCATTATTCATTTGTCCATCAGTCTATGGACAGAAGTCTTTGGGTTCAGCTCCCCACTGCTCAGTCATGTACCTGTTTCCACAGAGACTGATGTGTCTCATTCACCTGGATACTGATGTCAGTCGCAGCACCTCTTGCCCTTCATGGCCCATTGGCAAAGGCCACTGGTGGTGGCTTGTTTGTAACAAGAGCCACGGAGGAGCTGAGGCAGCTTAGAGGACACTGAGGTGATATTAACTGTCAGGAGACAGACTGCCCCTAAATACTTCAGTGTCCTAACTGTTCCCAAAATTGAGAGTGAAGGTTCTTGTCCTACAGCAGGAGGTTTGTGACCCTTTTCTGCTTCAGACAAATATGGAATTTGATGCAGCAAGACTGATTGTGCCATTTGTTGTTCCCAATGGTGATACAGGCCCTGGTGGATCTGCAGCTGAGCACACAAGTCCAAATCAGCATTTTTGAGAGCAGTGAGGAGCTTGGGGAATATGCCACTATGTTCACAAAAGCTGTGGCTGAAGCACCATACAAGTGAGTAAGCAGAGGAGATTTGGTCCTACCTTTGGAGAGGCTGCACTTTGAGCTACTGGGAAGGAATAGAAGGTACAACACAGGGTATAATGGTTCCTAAAGGTGCAGGTGACAGAGCATCTGCTCTTGCAGCTCCTTCAACAAAGGACTTGTTCTTGAAATTGATATCCTGCCCACAGAGGGGTCAGGACAAACCCTGGTTTTATAGTCACAAGCTGGTTTGGGTTGGAAGGGACCTTAAAGATCATCTAATCCAACCCCCTGCCATGGCCAGGGACATCTTCCACTACACTGGGTTGCTTAGTGCTCCATCTAACCTGACATTGAATGATTCCAGGCATGGGGTATCCGCAACTTCCCTGAGTATCTGCAGCTTCTTTGGGCAATTTGTTCTGGTGTCTCACCACCTTCGGGTTTCACACTGAAGCCTTGACATCAAGTAGAGCTCTTGTTCTGAGTCAGATTTTTGGAGTGGGAAGGGAATGCCTTAGAGTGCCAGATTTTCTGGCACTCTAAGGCATTCCTTAGACCTTAGAGTGCCAGATTTTCTTCTTCAGTGTGTAATGAAGAGACATGCCTGATAATGAACCACTTGATTCTTTCCATTGATAAGGGAGGACAGCAGCTTGTTGCACAGTGATAGCTAAGAAAGCCATCTTGCGCAGTCTCAAGCAATCCTGGCATTCCTATCACAGCAGCTGCTGGATTTTCATGTCAGCTATGACAAGAGATGAGCTCTCATTAAAAATGACATCTAAAAGTGCTTTGTTATGGTTGACAGCCAGAAGGTGAATTCTTGTTTACCACTTTGTCTGCAAGTTGGCTTGTGTCATGATTGCTGCTGAGTATGGGATTGTTTATTTTTCAGGAGCAATCTGGGTCTTAAAGAAATTGCTAGTGCATATAAAGAAAACAGGGTCAAATTATTCATGTTTTCTTTGATGCCGGTTGTGTCTCTGACAGCTCAAGTGGGGGATGGCGCTCTGACAACAGATGGCAGGGACAGGATTTTCTTCACAGCCTCATTGTCTCATTTGCTTCCTCCATTTCTTGTTCTCCCTAGGCGAGAGCGAGAGAACACAGGGTTCTCTTTCTACTTGGAGAAGGATTGTTGCAGAGGGGTGAAGGTGGATCCTTCTGGAAAGGGTCTCTTGAAAGTTTGGAAGAGGCAGATACAGCAATTTAACCGTGTCAGCTCTGAGATGGCTGAGGCTATCGTGTCTGCCTACCCTTCTCCTCAGCTTCTGATCCAGGTGAGGATGCCTCAGGGATACCCAGCACTGTGTGCAGGCAGCCAGCTCATGCAGGGAGTGGAAGAAATAATTTAATGAGTATTAAATTAGACACAGTGATTCTGCATGAGCGGTTCAGTAAGTTAGCGAAGGAACTGATTCCTTGGCATCCACTGGTCTGGCTTCCCACTGAGGGAGCAGCACTGGCTTCACTCTCCAAGCTCACAGATGGGACTTGGGCAGAGACCAAGTGAAAAATGAGTGGACATTGTGGAAGGGCAGAGCAGGTACAGGTGCATAGCTTTGATTGGTTTTTTGAGCAATGGATGCAAGTGGGTGATCCCATTGTTGCCTTTGTGTTGCTTTTAGGCCTATGAGAAATGCTCCTCGGACCAGGAGCGGGAGAACATGCTGGCCAATATCCCTGTGCACCGTGGGGAGGGTGTGACGGCCACCTCCCGGCGCATTGGGCCGGAACTATCCCGACGCATCTATCTGCAGATGACTTCCCATGATCCCGACCTCTGTCTGGATTTTACTGGGTAGCACAGGGAAAAAGGGTTGTACCGTTCAGTTAAGTGTTCCATTTTGGATTTCACTGGGTAGCTCCAGGGAATAAGGGTTTTTACTATTTGTCTGGTCAAGTTTTCAGTTTTCTTCTGTGAAGAAGTGCTTAGATAACACTCATTGATCCCTGTTTAAAGACTTGAAACACATTAAGACTTTATTGTAGAAGGAAAAAAGTTGGATAAAGTTGCTGAATAGCAGGAGTTTACACAAGAAAGATGGTGAACATCTTCCCTAAGCACATGAGTTGCACACAGCTTATAGTACTGATGTTGTTTCATTTGTCTTTCTATAAAATAAATAATTTTGAAGAATAACCTTTGCTTCTTAACGTGGCGTCTTGAATATAGACAGGTAGGTCCTCTGTTAAAAGGAATACTTCCTGTTGCTCTCCTGAACTGCAAGGACTTACCTTCTCCCTCCTTTGGGACAAATCCTGAAGCTAGAGTGACAT